TCTTTGGGTAAACACTAAAGGGTCTGTTGTCTTTTTAGCACAGTAGAGTACTCAATATTCAAAATAACCAAGAAAGTACTGTAGAAAAAGGGCCCATACACAGAATGCCGTCAGGATGGGGGTATAAATCCTTCTCTGACTTCCTTAAACATAAGAAATATAAAGGCCTCATATGAATGAGAAAAGTTTGAAAACTGGAATTTTTTTTTTTTTGAGAGAGAGAGAGAGGAAGGGGGAGAGGGAAAGGGACAGAGGGAGAGAGAGAATCTCAATCAGGCTCCACGCTGGGCGGGGCTCGATCTCACGATCCTGAGATCATGACCTGAACCGAAATCAGGAGTTGGAAGCTTAACTGACTGAGCCACCTAGGCCTCCCTAAAAACTGGAATCTTTATGTCTTAGTTTGGGCTTCCATAACAAAATGCCATAGACTTGGTTTAAACAACAGGAATTTATTTCTCACAGTTCTGGAAGTCCAACATCAAGGTACTGACAAGATAGGTTTTGCTCTGAGGCCATTTCTCTGGGTCTGCAGATGGTCACCTTCTTGCCCTGCATTCACAGGACTTCTTTGTGTTACAGTGGGGTGGGGGAAGGGAGAGCAAGCTCTCTGGTGTCTCCTCTAATAAGGCACTAATCCCCTCAGGCCAGGCCCCTACCCTTATGACTTCACTGAACCCTAATTACCCCCCAAAGACCCCATCTCCAAATACCATTACAGTGGGGGTTAGGGCTTCAGTATATATAAATTTTGAGGGGACACAAACATTCGGTCCGTAACACTTTACAAACATATATGACTGGCTTTTAAAAACATTTGCAGTTTGTATTTATTTATTTATTTATTTTTTAAAAAGATTTTATTTTTAAGTAATCTCTACACCCAACGTGGTGCTCAAACTTACAACCTCGAGATCAAAGTCACATGCTCCACCAAATGAGCTAGCCAGGTGCCCCATCATTTGCAGTTTTTTTTTTTAAGATTTTATTTATTTATTTGACAGAGAGAGAAACAGCGAGAGCAGGAACACAAGCGGGGGCAGTGGGAGAGGGAGAAGCAGGCTTCCCGCTGAGCAGGGAGCCCAATGCGGGGCTCGATCCCAGGACCCTGGAATCATGACCTGAGCCGAAGGCAGATGCTTAACGACTGAGCCACCCAGGTGCCCCTCATTTGCAGTTTTTAATAAAACATTTTTAATTGTGGAAAAAACACATAACCTGAAATTTATTATCTAATCATTTTAAGTGGACAGCTAATAGTATTAAGTGCATCCATATTGTTATGCAGTCATAACTGGCTTCTAAAACCAGTGCTGGTGAAGCTATTTATTTTCCCCTGGGTACTAGGTGTGTAAATCAGATGCAGTGTCATAAGGGTGGGCAGAGCCTTAGTTATGTCTTCATTGTTTGCTCAGCTAAGCTTCCTATTAGTTTAGTGTAGTAGTTAGAATTCTCCAGAGAAACAGAACCAGTAAGAGATATCTATCTATCTATCTATCTATCTATCTATCTATCTATCTATCTATCGAGAGAGAGAGATTGGCTCACATGATTATGGAGGCTGAGATGTCCCATGATCTGCCATCTGCACACTGGACACCCAGGAAAGCCATTGGCATAGGTCAGTCCAAGACTGAAGGCTTGAGAACCAGCAGAGCTAATGGTTTAATTCCTAGTCTGAGGATAGAAGACCCATATCTCAGCTCATGCAGTCAGGCAGAGAACGGGCAAACTCCTTTCCTATGCCTTTTGCTCTATCCAGACCTTCAACAGATTGAATGATTGGGGAGAGCAATCTACTTTACTCAGTCTACCAATTCAAATGCTAATCTCATCTGGAAATACTCTCACAGACACACCCAGAAACAATGTTGAACCAGATAGATGGGCACCGCATGACCCCATCGGGTTGACATATAAAATTAACCATCACATTTGGTTATTAGAGATACAGCAAGTAAGACATTTGTCCACTGGTGGTTGATAACTGGCATTGTATCTGATTGGTCAGGGTCCATGCTGTACAAGTTGTTAAATATTTTGAGTATCACTACTGATTATACATATTCTATATTAAATAAAATGGTCTTTTCACTAAAGCAGAAAAGTAAATCAAAGTTTATAGAAGTAGAAAGGTTTAAAAATAATTAACTAGAACTGATAAATGAATTCAGTAAGGTTACAGGATATAAAATCAATATACAGAAATTCATTGCATTTCTATACACTAATAATGAAGCAGCAGAGAGAAAAATTAAGAAAATAATCCCGTTTACAATTGTATCAAAATCAATGAAATACCTAGGAATAAATTTAACCAAGCAGGTGGAAGACCTGTACTCTGAAAACTATAAAATCCTGAGGAAAGAAATTGAAGATGACACAAACAAATGGAAAGATATTCCATGCTCATGGATTGGAGGAAGAAATATTGTTTAAGTGTCCATACTACTCAAATCAATCTAAAGATTTAATGCAATCCCTATCAAAATACCAATAGCATTTTTCACAGAACTAGAACAAATTATCCTAAACTTTGCGTGAAACCACAAAAGACCTCAAACAGCCAAGGCAATCTTGAAAAAGAACAAAATGGGAGGTATCACAATCCCAGATTTCAAGATATACTACAAAGCTGTAGTAATCAAAACAGGTATGCTACCAGCGTAAAAATAGACACATAGATCAATAGAACAGAATAGAGAGCCCAGAAATAAACCCCCTATTATATGGTCAATTAATCTTCCACAAGGGAGGCAAGAATATGCAATGGGAAAAAGACAGTCTCTTCAACAAATGGTGTTGGGAAAATTGGACAGCTACATGCCGAAGAATGAAACTGGACCACTTTCATACACCATACACAAAAATGAAATCGAAATGGATTAAAGACTTAAATGTGAGACCTGAAACCATAAAAATCTTAAAAGAGAGCACAGGCAGTAATTTCTCAGATTTCGGCCGTAGCAACATTTTTCTAGATATATCTCCTGAGGCAAGGGAAACAAAAGCAAAAATAAACATGAGGACTATATCAAAATAAAAAGCTCCTGCACTGCAAAGGAAACAACAAAACTAAAAGACAACCTACTGAATGGGAGAAGATATTTGCAAATGACACATCCGATAAAGGGTTGGTATCCAAAATGTATAAAGAACTTATACAACTCAACACCAAACCCGCAAATAACCCATTTACAAATGCACAGAAAACGTGAACAGACATTTCTGCAATGAAGACATCCAGATGGACAACAGACACATGAAACGATGCTCAAAATCCCTCCCCACCAGGGAAATGCAGATCAAAGCCACAATGAGGTGGTAGCGGCTATGGTGGCCACGGGTCAGTAGCTGACATGCAGCTCCTTGTCCACGCCCAGGAGCTACACACCCTCAAGGTGACCGGCCAGGAGATGGTCGCCCAGATAAAGGCTCATGTAGCCTCACTGGAGGTCATCACTCCAGAAGATCAAGTTGTGCTCTTGGCAGGCACACCCCTAGAGGATGAGGCTATCCTGGGTCAGTGTAGAGCGTAGGCTCTGATTGCCCTGGAAGTAGCCGGCCCCACGCTTGGAGGTGAAGTCCATGGTTCCCTGGCCCATGCTGGGAAAGTAAGAGGGCAGACTCCCAAGGTGGCCAAACAGGAGAAACGGAAGAAGATAGGCTGAGCCAAGCGGTGGATGAGTACAACTAGCACTTTGTCAATGTTGTGCCCACCTTTGGCAAGAAGAAGGGCCTCAGTGCCAACTCTGAAATCCACTGTAATCCTGGCTTTCCCTAATAAAGCCACTCAGTCCAGCCAAAAAATAACTACTACACAATGAGATATCACCTCCCAGTTGTCATAATGGCTAAAATAAAAAACACAAGAAACAACAAGTGTTGGTGAGGATGTGGAGAAAAAAGAACCCTTGTGCACTGGTGGTGGGAATGCAAACCATTGCAGCCACTGTGGGAAACAGTACGCAGGTTCCTCAAAAAAATTAAGAATAGAATTACCATGTGATCCAGTAATTCCACTACTGGATATTTACCCAACAAATATGAAGACACTAATTCACAAATACACATATATATATACCCTAAGTTTATTGCAGCATTATTTACAATAGTCAAGATATGGAAGCAGCCCAAGTGTCCACTGATAGGTGAATAGATAAAGACAACAAGGTATATATATGCAATGGACTCAGCCATAAGAAAGAATGAAATCTACCATTTGCAACAACATGGATGGATTTAGAGAGTATAATTGTAAGTGAAATAGTCAGAGAAAGACAAATACCATATGATTTCCCTTGTAGGTGGAATTTATGAAACAATGAATGAACAGAGGGAGAAAAAAGAGACAAACCAAAAACAGACTCTTAAGTACAGAGAACAAACTGGTGGTTACCAGAGGGGAGGTGGGTGGGGGGATGGGTGAAACAGGTGAAGGAGATTAAAAGTACACCTACCATAATGAGCACCAAGACATGTATAGAATTGTTGAATCACTATATTGTATACCTGAAACTAATATAACACTGTATGTCAACTATACTGGATTTAAAGGTTTTTTTAAATAATAAAATAAATAAAAACAATTAGCTATGGTTCTCATTAACCCTTCGATATTATTTTCTGATTTTGATGTAAGTCCAACTTAAAAAGAACTAACTAACCTTCAGTATTGAATGTTAGAGTTAGAGCCCCCTGTAATTTGAGCAAAACTTAAATATTTTTCCCACGGAGAGGAAATTCACATGAAATTAACCATTTGAGAGTGAACAATTAAGTGGTTTACAATACTGTATACCCATTGGCACTATCTAGTTCCAAAACTTTTTCATCAGCCCAAATGGAAACCCCATCCCCATTAAACAGTTGCTCCCAAATTCCCATCCCCCAACCCCTGGCAACTACTAATCTGGTTTCTGTTTGTTTGGATTTGCCTATTCTAGACATTTCATGGAAGCGGAATCCTACAACATGTGACCTTTTGTGTCTGGCTTTTTCACTGAACAATGTTATCAAGTTCATCCGTGTTGTAGCAGGTAACTATCTGTATTTTATTCCTTTTGTGTGGCTGAATCATATTTCACGGCATGTGTACACCATACTTTGTTTATTCATTCATCTATTGATGAATATTTGGGCTGTTTCTACCTTTCTGGCTGTTGAGTTAGACTTCTAACAGTTCAGTCAAGCGGCAAAACGCCTATCTCCCTCCCTTCCACATGATGAGCTTAGCTACCCTAGAAAAAGGACTGTGACTGCTTTAAGTATCTTGGCTCTGTTTCCCAGAACTGTCTTTTTTTATCTGCAAGCCAAGGACAAATCTGTCTCACCACCCCAAGCCTCCACAACAGAAAAATTAATCCATCTCCACAGCATAAACTGCTCCTTCCCTTCCTCTGCCTCCCTGCTGACCAGCCCTTCCCCGAATAGGGAGTCTTTCAACCACTGCTTTTGCTTTCCTGAAATTTTCCATCTGTTATTTGCTGTCCATGCATTTGGTCCTGTGCAAGTGATCTGACACATGCAAGAGTATTTTTTTTTTCTGATCTAGACTCTCCCTTAAAAATAGTTTGATATTATATAACTCAGCTACTCCTTAGCATCACTTTAACAACACATTTAAACAGAATTCATATGAACCATGTTTCAGCTTTCCCCTCCTCCTGCCCCCCATTCCCACTCCATTGTGGTTGACCAGCCTTACGTCTGGCTTTTGGACATATACTCAAAGAGTACATTTTAGTTAAGTAAACAAATTCCTACAGATGTTATTTTTCTGACGTAACAGGATGCCTCAGTCTAGGTAAGCTGCTCATTTCTTCTTTAGAAGCGCCATGAAGATTGAATATATGGTGAGAAATACAGGTCAGTAGGATCAGATTGCCCCCGGGGTGCCCCTCAGATCACATTGTGTCAGCAGCTGGCTTCTCTGGATAGCAGAAGGCCTAGTCAGGTAGCCAGTGTAAGAGCCATATCCTTCACACTTCTACTCGAGGTGACCTTATGTCTGGATGTTCCTCAGCCCTGTATTGCGCTAAAAAAATAATGGTCATTAGGATTCTAAAACCAGAGGGGACAGTGTGTATATCTCCTTAGACAGGGCTAGTTTACCCAATAGACGGTCTAAGCACATGCTTGCAAACCTGGGGCACCAACTTTTTGGGGGGGTGGGAGAATTTGGTCATTATTTTATATAAGACATCAAGATAGTCATTGTGGGAAAAATAGAGTATGTCTTAGAGTGCTGAATACTTAGTTGATGGTGCATTGTTATTGTATTTTTAAAGTTATCATACAGTAAAACTGACACTTTGGTGTACTACATGTTTTAGCAATGAAATTTCTGATCAGATCTTTAGACTCGCTTACTTATTTTCTTTTCCTCTTTGATGTGAGGTTGTACTTGAGGGAATGAATGGACTTATAGTTTACTGTATGTAGTTTACTATGATAGATAACATGGAAAAAAACCTATAATACAAGGGAGGGAGCAGTAGGAGCAAATGTATTAAGGCAGAAAAACACAGGGAATGGTCAGTAAAGGGGAGTAGTCCAATTTTTTAAAAAATATTTTATTTATTTATTTGACACAGAGAGAGAGCACAAGCAGGGGGAGCAGCAGAGGGAGAGGGAGAAGCAGGCTCCTCGCTGAGCAGGAAGCCCGATGCGGGGCTGGATCCCAGGACGCTGGCAGACGCTTAACGACTGAACCACCCAGGCGCCCCTGTGTAACTGTTTTTGATATTTTAAGGCTCGCACAGTTTAGAAGCAAAATTTCTACAAAAGCTGATTGCATTTGAATATCTGTTTTAATTCATTTATTCAGTCAACAAATAATAGCTGAGTACCCACTATGTGCCAGGCCCTATTTCTAAGTCTCATGAACAAAACCAAGACTCTGCCCTCGTGGAACTTGCAGTCTGGTGAGGCATAGATAATAAATTAGTCAACAAATAGGTACCCTATCATCACGTGGTGATAATTATTAGAAGGAAAGTTAAAGCAGGATGAGGGGATAGAGCGAATTTTATGTCAGCTCAGGGGCAGCCTCTCTTAGGGGGTGATGTGTGACGAGAGACGTCAATGTAGTGAAAAGGTAAACTATGCGAAGGTTCAGGGCAAGAACATTCCAGGCCACGGGAGCAGCAAATCTGAAGGTTCTGAGGCAAGAATATGTTTGGCATGTTCTGACAATGACAAGGAGAAGAGGGCGCCCGGAGCAGGGTGTTCAAAGCAGTGAGACATGAGGTCTGAGAAGTGGCCAGAATAACAAACATGGAGGGCCATGTTGGCCCATGATTCGGATTTTGGATTTGATTCTAAAAGTGACTGGAACCCATTGAAAAAGGTTCACATGATGTGATTCACAGTCTAAAAAGCCCTCTGCTTGCTCCTGTCTGTGTATAGGTTAAAATTGCTCCCCGCACCCCAATTCCTGATGACCAGTTGGCGTGGCCTCCTGAAAAATCCAAAGTCTTATTTTGGACAAGGTGAAATTGGCCTTAAGTGCAGACCCCAGGAGAACTCAGTAGGATTCCAGTTCTCTGCCTTTAGTGTTGTAGTCTTCGTGTCTTCCTTCCTGATAGACATGGTCCAAGGCCCCTCCTCCAAGGCTGGCTGGAAGGACCCTACTCAGCTTTAAGGACACACACCCATTGTGCAACTCTGGTGGTTCTTGTCCCTAAGCCTGTGGGGAGGATGGCTTTGTCCCTACATCACTGTTAACCTGGTGGCATTTCATTACTTGGGCTCTCCAAAAGAATTACTGACCCAGTCAATGGTGGGGCTCCTGATGCTCTGAGACTTGTCCTATTGCCTTGCTCTGACACCCGTGCTGTCAAAACATATTTGCAAAAGCTCCCCCAGTGATTGTGGCAAAAGCCCCTTTTTCCTTTTCTCCAAAAGGATAAGCACGTACCTGGATGTGTGTATAACATAATTTAGAACCTAGAGTGCTCAAATTACCACATTGTTCCAGGAATAGCTTTCATTCTGGTTTTTTTTTTCCCTGTCTCAGAGAAAAACCGAGAAGTGAAGTTTTTTACCAACCAAATGGTAGAACCAGATTTAGAATTGAGAAAGAGCTATTTGTGAAAAGTATGAATCTATGTCATTATATGTGGCTTTGTTGCTAAAGATATACTAATTTGCCATTTAAAATTTCCCCTTCCTCAGTGCCTAGACTCTCAACTTTGCTGACATTTATTCAGATCCTATTTTTACTTATTGTTTTTTTAATTAAACTCTACACCCAGTGTGGGGCTTGAACTCACAACCCCAAGATCAAGAGCTGCATGCTCTACCGACTGAGCCAGCCAGGTGCCCCTTGAGTCCTATTTGTAAAAAAAGAAGCTTCCCCCTACCACTTTTATTTGAAAATATATTTAAAACCTGCAACTTCTCGGGAAAAGTATGGAGACTGCTTTATTTTTGTTGCAGGCATTGTAAAACTAAAAAACCAAGACTAGTATTAGCTTGAACTTTACCTTGGAATATGTCCACGAAGAAGAAAGCAAGCCAGACTAATCTTGACTTTCTCTCCTCCAGCTTTTTGTATCAAAGACCCTCTGACATAAGCAAGTGAAAGCTTTTCAATTACTTATTGTAGTGTGGGGCCATCTCGAAATTCTGCATACTCAGAAAGGAGATTTTTGCCCCCACTCCTGTCTCCTCTTTCTCCATGTTTTTCAGTCACTGTCTTACTTCATTTGGATTCCTTATCATTCAAACCACATTATTTGGGAGGATGAGCTACAGGTTGAATCGGATTGTCAGTTCTGATTTGGGAGGAAGGTTTATGAGACTCAACAGTGCTGTAGCTCATTGTTCAGTATTCCAAGAAATATCCCTGCTCTAATTCTCAAGGTTTTCAAAATCTTACAAAGAATGTTGGACAGTTAATGTGTTTCAGCCATATTATTTCAGAACAAGTCTCTTTAGAGATTAGTGGATGCCCCCCACCCCTCCCCAAAGCTGACTTTGGCTATAATAAGGTTTATTTAAGTAAAATAAAGTCAGCTAACTGAAGATTAGCCTCCACATGCCTTTGCTATAATGCAAAGTCTACAGTCACCCCAAAGTCAAAATTTGGCAAACTTTGCAATGTGGGTTGCCACACCGCTGACTTTTATTATTTTGGAAAGGGAATAAGTATGAGCCAGGTGCACAAAGAGAACTCTCTCTTTCTCTCTCTCTGCTCAAGAATTTTCTCCCAGGCAATCTACAGATGGAGTTAATATGGCCATCTTAAAATGAAAATATCCCATGGATAGGTTAAATATATTGCCTTTGATTAGGTAGCAAGCGGGTTGTTAGGGGTTAGAGCTGAGGTTGGCACACTTTTTCTGTAACGATCCAGATAGTAAATATTTCAGTCGTTGTGGGCCAGATGGTCTCTGCTACAACTACTTAATTCTGCTTGTTGTAGTGTGAAAGCAGTCATAACACATAGCTGAATGGTCATGGCTGTGTTCCAATAAAACTTTATTTACGAAAACAAAGCAGTCTGAATTTGGCCCACGTTCCATAGTTTGCTGACCCCTAGATTATAACGCTTAATTAGAGTAGAGCATAGGTTTCTTGGCAGAATTATTTCAACACAGCTAGGAATATCATGAAATTACTGGACAATTAAGAGACTGCCTTGAGGTAGGGTGGCTACTTTATAATTTTGCCATTGACATTAGTGTCTTCATTCTACTCAGAGTCACCTCATCTGCTCCTTTTAGGCTGGAGGCTAAAACAGTAGAAACTGTGGATATTTCTTTTTCATTGATCTTGTTCTCATAATTCCCTTAGAAATAACAAGACCTGACATTTTTATACATTAGAATTTCTAGATGTCTTGCCGATAGCACATTTCATAAAGCACCTGGTGACCTTAAAAAAGATTTTTATAGGAGCAATTTAAAGTTGAATAAATAGAATTAATTTCAATGCATCTCACTCCAGTGTATAATTTTGCACTTGGCCAAACATCACGTTCCATTGTTTTGTTCTGTTCAAAGCCTTTTTGAACTCATGTAAATAGTTTTGCACATGTACTAAGACATGTATTTGTTTATTATTTTATATCCTAATAACCATGCATAACTATTCTGTTTTTCCATTGAGGCCTGGGGGGGGGGATATCCTTCAATGAGCACTTCCACATCTGTTTTCTCATTTAATATAATTTAATTATTTTTGCAGATGAATCATAGGGAAGATAAAGTTACTTGCCCAAGGTCACCCAGCTAGTTAAGAGTGCAGCCAAGCTTCCAAAACAGGTCTGTTTGAGTCCAGAAGCTATGCGTTTTCCACTACATCACTATTGCCTACAGGAAGTTACTTGTAGCTCTTGGCGGGCTTTATCTTTTTTTTTTTTTTTTTAATCCAAGCTGTTTTCAAGTAAATCATAGGAGAACTGAGTAACATAGTATTTAATTCTTCTCATATATTTTGGAAGTACATATTTTCAAAAGGAGATATGGTGGATGCTTTTGTTTAAACAACCATGGTTCTATGACTAGAATATTTCCAAATAAGGGTGACTTCCAAAAATTATTTGCTTTCTTGGCAGTCTTCATACATTCTTTGTGAATGCAACTAGATTTCCCATCTTCCTTGTTTAGGAGAGAATCATATGTTAATAACATTTTTTGAAAGGTGTGGCTTGGTGATATTCTTTTCAGATTTGAATAACTAAACTTCCTGGCATCATAAGTTCAAATCATGGAGAAGCCAGCTCATTATAAGTTCGACATTCCGAAATTGATTTTTGTTTGGGCATAGCTTTGTGTAGCCCTGAATGTGCATATGAGTTAGGGGTAAAAGTTACTGCCAAAATCTTAAGATACAGATATTTAAGCCTTTTCATCAGATATGGGATGAATTCCTTTCTGTTGGAATGTTTTTTTTTTTTTACTCTTGGGCAGAGCAAAAAACACCACAATGAATCACTGCATGATTAAAAAAACAAAGGTGGGGCTGGGAGAATTGACCCATAAAATGGTTACAGCATATATGACTCTCAGACCTCAATCAAAATATTGTTGTGCAAAAATATAACTACTTTCCTTCACATCTATACTTCAGACATTGAGCATCAAGGGCTCAATGATGGGGGGCTTTTGGGGAAAAAAAACCCACTAACCTCAGTCCTCCTTAGGGTCTTCTCAAGGTTGTCAACCTCTTATGTAGGTGCCAAGGTGTTGGGGGGTAATCAGGGTGATAGCAGTGATGAGAGGACGGGTATATAGTTATCAATCAGAGGTCGATATAGGTTACTGCTAAGATGTCCACTCTCCTGGCCCATGTGTTTCCTTTGAGTCAGAGGTCTTTGGTTACCTTCCTACTGCCCTTGGGGCTCAGGAAACTTTGCCAGCTTTGCATGTAGACCTGCATGCAGAGAACAGCTCACAGTCATTGCTTTCTAGGGTCTGGATGCTTCCCTGCTAGAAGTGCTATGAAATGAAGTAAAAGGTTCTTGGTTGCCTTCAAGAATCTCTTATGGTTTGACTTCATTCCTCTCCCCTGGGTTGGAAGAATCCATTTCTAGTGTGAAGAAAAGCCTTCTCCCTTTCTCTGTTTTAAAGGACCTCTATCCCTGTGGAATTTCTTCCTCTATGAGCTTAGACTTTTTGAATCTCCGAACTTGCAAGCTACTTCTGTATTTTGCTGAGGTGCCCTCCCTCTTTCCCTTCAGGCAACGAGAATGGAGCCAGCTACCTGCTTGGATGGAGGGAAGAGGAAGGGGAGAAAAAACTGAGAACAAAGTTGAAGCCTCAAAATATTATCCATTCACCTTATTCATTACAACCAATAAATTGCTTTTCTATGAAGTTTTCCCAGTACTTGACACACTTGGCTTTGGAGTACAGAAAGAACTGTGGTATGGTGACTTTCATAAAAGCCAAGTCCTTAAAAGCCTCCCAGTGTTCTCATGTGGGGCCACGGTGCTGAACAAAGGGATGCTCTTGTGAGAGTTTTGACGTCTCTTCAAAAAAAAAAAAAAAAGATTTTATTTATTTATTTGAGAGAGAGAGAACACAAACGGAGAGGGAGGGGCAGAGGGAGAGGGGAAGCAGACTGCCCACTGAGCAGGGAGCCTGACACAGGGCTTGATCCCAGGACTCTGGGATCATGACCCAAGCTAAAGGCAGACGCTTCACTGACTGAATCACCCAGGCACTCCTTGACTTCTCTTTCTCAGCATAGAACAGCCTCCTGGAAGCCGTCTTTGCTTGCCAATCTCAGCAGCTAGGCTGTCCTCCCTCTGGGCTCTCCTCCCTCTGGGCTCTCCTCAAGCTCCCCCTTCCTATTGCTCCCTCCTGGCAATTCCGCAGCTCTAGGGAGCAACCAGCTCTCCCCTCGAGGTCTGCCGTGTACTAAGGACCATGTCAACATGAGCTATGGAATCAATCATTTTCAGATGGATTTGGGGTTTTCTAATTGATACTGATTACAGAACAGTTGATTGGGCCACAACAAAGTACATAATTTTCAGACATAAGACCACCAAAATGGCCAGACATGCTGTACTGGAAGAAATATAGCTCAGAAACTGAGACTCAGGGAAGTTAAAGGGCTGGTCTAGGTTCAAACAGCAAGTTCATGAACACGATTAAAAGCCACCCCTGGGGCGCCTGGGTGGCTCAGTTGTTAAGCGTCTGCCTTCGGCTCAGGTCATGTTCCCAGGGTCCTGGGATCGAGCCCCGCATCGGGCTCCCTGCTCCGCGGGAAGCCTGCTTCTCCCTCTCCCACTCCCCCTGCTTGTGTTCCCTCTCTTGCTGTGCCTCTCTCTGTCAAATAAATAAATAAAATCTTAAAAAAAAAAAAAAAAAGCCACCCCTGAGAACCCTGTTAAGGGCAGGGTTGTGATAACATTCAAATACATTGCAAAAGACTCTCCAGCTGTTTGATGAGTCTAATAAAACAGGAGCACTGACTGATAAAACAACATCATATAATAATGGTCAGCATGGGTTCTAAACCCTGGCCGCCGAGTTACTAAACTAGTGTCACCACTTAGAAACTGTGAAACTGGGCCTTGTCACTTTTCCTCTCTGTGCCTCAGGGTCCTCATCTGTAAGATGGGAATAATAATAGCACCTGCTTCATGGCTTGTTATGAAGTTTGAATGAATTAATATATGTAAAAGCACGGAGGATAGCACTTGCCTCATTGTGGGCATTTATATTGTTTGTTATTATGAAATTACCATTACTTCGGAATAATATCCCAGTGATGCATTCAGAGAAGATAAATGTGCATGTGAAGACTGAAGGACATCAGAACAAAGTCTGTAATCACCGCGGAACTGGGGTAATCACTTACTCACTTGTTAAACATCCAGGGAAATCATGGGTTCATTAGATGCTGTAATAATTTTAATAGCAGTGTGTCTGAAAGCTGTAACGTGACTTGGAGACTTTTTTGT